AATCCGCGAGTCTAGAAATTCATTTCGGACAATTGAACCTTCTCGAACTGTTTCTTTTTAAGAACCAAAAATATTTATAATACAATTACGAATGCAACAAAAGAATACCAAGTAAATTCAGGTCATTTGGATAGACATGATACAAATCTAAAGTACTAAGGAAGAATTGAAGAGATGTTTTGATGTATAAAAGTGTTAATAAGTGTCAATGTGTGAGAAGTTTATCAAATTGATAGAGATGAGTTTCAAAGTCAAATCTCTATGTCCTAGTTAGTCACGGGTGTTGGCAAAATTTCCAAAACATTGTTAACGATTTTACAAAAGCTAAAACCTACAACAGACGAATTACCACCTCAATCTAAGTGTGTTTCAATGTCTAATCCATGCTGATTATAATTTGTGCTATTATTGTATATTGATAGATCTAATGGCAGACAAAAGTCAAACGGAAACTCAACAATTTTTCAGATTAGCAGTTGCTATGGTGAATTTGATTGGTCCATGTAAATTTTGGTGTTTTTGTTCATTGGTCGAAAGAAAAATACAGAGGTTTAGTTCATTATTAGGCAAGGGTGTCGGTTTAGATGGATCCCGAAAAGGTCCAATAAGGGTTCAACTAAGAGGATGTTTTTTGAAATGACTTTTTGAAATGACTTTTTGGATTTTTCAAAAAGTCAAAAGTTTAAAAAGCTGTTTGGTAACTTCAAAAGATCTTTTAAATTAACTTTTTGAGAAGAAGAAAAAAGAGATGGTTAAGAAGACTTTTTGAGAAGAAGAAAAAAAAGATGGTTAAGAAGTCAGGAATTGTGACTTTTAGCAACTTTTAGCTTTTTTTCCCTTTGTACTCTCAAAAGTTTATACAAACACATTTAATTTTTTTTTTTTGGAAAAAGACATAAATCAAAATGTCATTTTCTAAAAAGAAAAAGCTGTCCCAAACACTCCCTAAATCTTAACATAACCCTAGTAGACTAGTAGTAGCTTCCATTTAAAAAAAAACATTGAGAAGGAAAAATAAATAAAAGAGTAAATTACATTTTTAGTCCCTATAGCTGGTTTCTTCAATTTTGGTTCCAAAAAGTTTTCTCTTGCAATTTTGCTACTTATTTGAGGTTTTTGTTACAATTCTGGTTCTTGTTTCAAGTAAAATGATTATTTTTTGGAACAAAATTGCAAAAATTAACCATAGTAGTTAAATAAAAAATAGTCATTTTACAAGAACTTCAAATATGGACCAAAATTTCAAGAGAAATTTTTTTAGTACCATAAATATAATTTACTCTAAATAAAAAGATCAAGGGGTGATAAATGCAAACAAATTCGGTCTCTTATAGGCATACCAAGTACTTTATTTACATAATATAGAAAAATACATAATAAACAATATAAACATGAAATGAAACTTATTTATTATATCCAAGTATCCAACCATCTTTCTTTGCCACTATACTTTTCTAAAAAGTAGCTAAAATACGTTACCACTTGAGGTGGAGGCTGGAGCTATGCAATTATTATTATTATTATGGCACAGGGCATTCCTCTATCTTCCAAATCTCCTTTGCATACTGAGAGATTGTTCTGTCACTACTAAACTTCCCACTGCCAGCTGTGCTCAAAATCGACATCTTTATCCATCTTTTCCTATCCCTGTAATTTGTAATGCAACACAATTATAAAATCAGTAAAGTAAAGGGTATTTTGGTCATTTTAATTTATAAAAAATATATAAAAAGGTTTGAGAGATGTTTACTTATATGCTTCATCCACTTTAGCTTGAATGTCTATGTAGGTTGGGAAGTCATGTCCAACAAGAAAGTAGTCCCCACGCCCATACCCTGAGTTTCCTTCTAGAGAATCAAGAAGTGGGTTGTAGTCATAGTTTCCAAACGCCTTTGATCTTATGAATTCTTTAGCCTCTTCGTATCGAGGATCCGGTTTAAACTGCAAATTCAGAAAAATAAATAAATTATAATATTTAATTAACCATACACAAACCAAATGTTTTTTTTTTTTTTTTTGTATTCTCACCAGTCCATTTTCTCGGTCTTTCCTGAGCTTGGGAACTTCATCTGCTGTTGCTCCAAAAAGGAAAAAATTGTCCTCTCCAACTTCCTCCCTGATTTCAACATTAGCCCCATCTAATGTTCCTATAATCAGGCATCCATTAAGTGCAAATTTCATATTACTTGTCCCACTAGCTTCCATGCCAGCTGTACTTATATGTTGTGACAGCTCACTTCCTGGTATAAGTACCTCCGCCACAGATACATTGTAATTAGGCACAAAAACCACCTGCAATAATACAAAATTACCCTCCTCTTAAATCAGTTCACACACACAAAAAAAAAAATGATATGAAACCATTTTTACCTTCAAGTATTCATTAACTTCAGGATCGGTGTTCACAACAGCACCAACATCATCCACAAGTTTGACTATTCTTTTAGCATTTGTATATGTTGCAAATGCTTTCCCTCCAATCATGATTGTCCTTGGTGTTGTGGCTTTTCGCTCTTCAGGGCTCATTTCCTGTTTCAGTATGGAATGTTCTAGAATCTTCTTCTATGATACAATCTATCTATTAAGTATTTAACTAGAAATGATGGTGTAACGTATGTACCTTTAGTTTCTTGTACCTATAAACAGCACCCAAGATATTCAACAGCTGTCTTTTATATTCATGGATGCGCTTCACTTGAATGTCGAAAAGGGTATTTGGGTCAATTGTTTCGCCTGTTACTTTCAGTATGTACTGTGCTAATCTCTGTTTGTTGGCCATTTTGGCTGACTCCCATTCAGCTTGAAGTTCTGGATTGTCAGCAAACTTTTGGAGAGAGAGAGAGAGAGAGAGAGAGAGAGGATATGAATCAGCAGGAAGTATGTAAATCCTCACAGTAGAGGGCATTTTGGTCATTTTTTACATTAAATAGAAAGAAAATGAAAGCAGCATACCTCCCGCAGACCCACAAGTAGGTCTAGGTTGGTGACCCACTTGTCTGTTTTTAACCATTTTGTTATGATCTGACTAAGTTCAGGACTACAAAATCTGAGCCAACGTCTAGGAGTAATGCCATTGGTCTTATTTTGGAACTTGTTTGGCCATATTGACACATAATCTGCAAATAACTCTGCCTTTAAGATGTCACTGTGCAATTGTGCTACACCATTAACCTGCCAAAACAGATAAAAAGAAATGGGCTGAATTGAGTGACCCTAAACTGTCCCTCAAAAAAAAAAACACAAATATTATATAAAATTAGTTGGTTTTTCCTACATTTATAGTATTCAAACAGCTTACCGTATGCCCAGAAACCACACACAAGTTTGCCATGCGGACAACCGGCTTATTTGGGTTATGATCCAAAATCCGCATATCAGAAATCTTATTCTCAAGGTCAGGACGTGTTGACTTTATCATCGCAATAAACTGCAGAAATTATACAAACATATATTATATTTGAATCACCAATCAAGTATATGTTATTTATAAACTCAAGAAAAAAAAAAGATATTTAAAACTAAGTACCCGTTTGTCAATTTCTTCTATAATTTCCATGTGGCGAGGAAGAAGCTTTGACATCACAACTTGTGACCATTTCTCCAATGCCTCAGGAAGAACAGTGTGATTTGTATAAGCAATTGACCTGGTCAACACTCAACAGCAACCTCTTTGTTATTATTTAAGGCCAAAAGCAAAAAGTAACATGTTTTTTTTTATAAAATTTATAAAGCACCTTGAAGTCACATCCCAGGCTTCATCCCACCCTAGCCCTTCTTCATCCATCAACAATCTCATAAGTTCTGGTATTGCAAGAGTAGGATGTGTGTCATTCAGTTGCACTGCAACCTTTGTAGGAAACTCTGACCACTCCCGTTTTCTTCCTTCTTTTCTTTCCTTGAATCTTGAAATAATGTCCTAAAAAACATAAACATTCAAACTCTATTATCTTATCTTCTAATACTTATAAATCATCGATTGTCACAAATGCAAAATAAAAAGATTGTCAAACCTGCAGTGATGCACTGCATAGGAAAAATTGTTGCTTTAGTCTAAGAAGTTTTCCTTCTTCTGTAGCATCTCCAGGATAAAGAACAGCACAAATCTGGAGATAAAAAATTTTAGTTTATAGTATTTCCATGCTAAAAAGACATAAACTTTCTATCGAATTGGGAAAATATGATATAAAATGTGATTACGTTTTACTAATATAGGAAACATACTTTATGTTTTTTACTAATATAGGCAACATACTTTATTTATTACCTGTTATGGCAATGTACTTAACTAATTTTACCCATAATAGCAATGTACTTATGTTTTCTGTAAACATAATATCAACATACTTACAATTCTTTACTGATAATAGCAATATGTAGCAAATAAGAACAATGCCAATACTGGCAACAAAATGCAAGTACATTGCTATTATAGGTAAAAGATAAAGTAGATTGCCCATATTGGTAATGAGAGTAAAGTATGTTGCTATATCTGGCATTTTGCCTATTAAGAAAACAACCAACCTGTTGAGCTCTAGCATGTAGCTCAGCAGCAGACTGATATTGTCCATCATTAAACTGAAACAAGTTGAAGTCCCGAGCACTTGCTTTGGCTTCCCAAAGGCGAAGACTATTTGTGTTTTTAGTTTTGTATCCAGGAATTGGGATGTCATATGCTAGGGCCTGTAGAACCTCTCCATCAACCCATTTTCGGCTGCAACATATTTAGCCAAATTCAAATTCAAAGTCAAAGTCAAAGTCAAAGTCAAAGAAGATATTTGTAGTTGTGCTTACGATCCTGTGGGGAGGACTTCAACACGACCAAAGAATCTGACAGGAAACACAACATCGTGCCTGACAACTTCCCAAGGACTAAACTTCTGAAATAATAAAGAAAATTAGAAATGATTAATTGTAAAGAAATATATAAAATGGAAATATAAGATGGGGTCCGGACCTCGAGCCAATCTTCTGCCATTTCTTCTTGCCCTGCTTTAGAAATGCTCTGTTTGAAGAGGCCATACCTGTACCTTAAACCATACCCCCATGCTGGTAGGTTTAAAGTTGCCATGGAGTCCAAAAAGCAAGATGCAAGTCTCCCTAAACCACCATTCCCAAGTGCCATATCTTTCTCCTACAATTGTTACAATGCAATAGTTAAGAAAAAATAGAACAGATTAATCATGTTAGAAAGATTTTAAAGGATTACCTGCTCAGTGATTTCTTCAAGTTCATGTCCCAGTTTGTTCAAAGCACTGGAATATGCATCTTGAATATCAAGATTCCCAATGGCATTAGTCAATGCTCGCCCTTGAAGAAACTCCATGGATAAGTAGTATGTTTGTTTTGGATCAACTTTGTGATAATGAAGATAGGTCTCATTCCATTGCTGAAGAAGCAGTGAACAAAAAAGGAAGCATGGTTAGGTTAGAAGATAGATAAACATGTTTTTTGGGAACTTTCAGAAGATCAAAGAAAAAAAATGTAACATGTATGATTATGAACGAGTTATGACTTATGATAAGTGATAACAACTTCAAGGATAAATATTTTTACTTGTATCAGGCGATCACGAACACTCTCTGCAGCTGCATAGTATGCTTGCTCAGGCTCAAATTTGATAGGAGAAAAATGTGGACTGTATTGAGAATGATACTTGATATTGGATGCAATATCTGTTGGATCTTCTGCTAGTGGGTGAGCAGCAACAGGGATCTTATCAGGGGTCTTATTGGAAGAACCATTGGACTTTGTGGTAGTCTCCATCCCTGGAACTTCCAGAGACTATTCTACTTTATATACTGCAAAGTTGTTGGGGAAGGAGGGGAACAAATAAGGAGACTTGATTGAAGATACTGGAAAAGAGATATCTGTATGACAATAAAGTAATAGAATCATGCAAATTCGTGGTCCTTGATGCTTCAAAAAAGGTGTGTACTAATTGAGTTTGTAACAATGATATGATGGAATATATATGTTGGATCTTTTCCCTATAAGGTACGCTAAAGCAAATAGCAACAACTACAAAGATAATGAATGATCTACTAAGATGGTAACTTGGTAAGTTATATTACAGACAAGAATATAGAAAGAGAGAGGCAGTCATTCAGTCAAACATAACCATTGTTCAAGAACTTTCGTGCACATACATGAGAGGGGTGTTTGGATGTGATCTTTTCAACTGATTTATTGCAAATTTTAGAGTCAATCATATAATCAATTGACAGAAGTTGATAGATAGTTAGGTAATTGTGCACTAGTCTTCAAATCTGGTAATCAATTAATAGAACTTATAACATTCGATAAGCCTAAAATCATAATCATAATCTTTTTTCTTGAAACACTCAACTGAATTTGAACCCGCATCTAAAATTCTAAACACCACAGAAGTCTATGTTTACCATAAGTCAAAAATGATACACCTCATCACACTAGAATTGCAGGTTTCACTCAATACGACGTTGATAGTTCAATAAAAAGCCTGAAATACCTTTCGTTAACTAAAAAAGCGATTAGCATACAATGATTGTGGGTATAAAAAAATATTAACTCCGAATTTCACAAAAAAAAAAAATATATATATATATACGAATGCTAGCAATTTTTGGGGCACATCCGAAACAAATATTGTTGAGATTTTCATAAACCGCTGGGAGATACATATGACAAACCCAAACTCAAGCGAAATCAATCTGGAAATGATAAATATAGCAAATTACCAAGTCAATCACAACAGAACTGACAAAAACAAACTAGATAAGTATAACTCGGAGTTAGGGTCAAAAGCACTTACACAGTGTAATCAATCGTCGAATACACTTACAGAATAAAGCAAAAGCCTCTCAGGGATTGCAATGTAGTCTCAAATTTGAAACTATAGTGACAAACAAGTCTATTAATAGCAAAAATCAAACAGATATTTTGATGGAAAGTTCCAAAAAGCAATTTCAGAAAAGTACCCGATGGAATATGCGTAGTCTTCTGCAATGTGTAATGTGTGTGTGAAAGAGAAAGAGAGAAGATAAGTAATGGAGGTCGGTGAGATCACGTATGATTGTGTGGTGGTCGAAAGTGAAGACGACGATGATATTTTCAGTGAGCTGAGAAATTATAAATATGTGATATTTCGCGTGGCACGTGTGGGATGACACGTGGGAGTTCGTTGTAAGGAAAGTGAAAGCGCGCATAACAAGATTGAATAGCATAGAGATCCGAGTTCGCATAAAGTTTTTGCGATTTTCATTTTAAGCCCTTGAGATTCCGTAAATGATCATTATACCCCGTGTTTTCACAAATACGTTATCCATTTATCCTTTAAGCTTTAGAGTTTGTTACAGTACCCTTCCATGACTCGAGACAACAAGTCATATACATGTAAGAGTAGCATCTTTCATTGTTTGAAGTGCTTTTTAAACCAAACTATTAGAAGAATATATTACAGAATATACTACATATATTAACTATTATTCATATGTCCAAAATACTCTATAATATAATAATATAACGTTATGTTTTAAATAATATACTAAATTTCAAATAAATATTACGTAGGCAAATTAATTTATATATGTTTTTGTAATCATGCTAATAAAATTGAAAAGGAATGGAAACTTCTACTGACATGGTCTTTATTTCGTGGAAATTTTGTGTATGGTGAAATTGAAGGTTAAATTTGTTAATTTCATAAACAATGAGGGGTGTTGGTGCAAATAGAACCATCTTATCACGGGCTCGCCGTGAGTTGTGTTCACGGAAGAGCCGGCCCGGGGACATGGCGTGGACTCCATTACTACTTCTTGCTTGCTTCTCAATCACATGATCCATTGATCCCTCCCCAAAAATGTAATCTACTAATTGATGGCAAAAATACATGGTTTTTTTCTTAAACTGCATTTTCATTACCCAATATTAATACTTGTAAGATTAGAACTTGGCGTTGTTTAAATCTCAAATCATCCTTGTGTAAAAATTGATGTTGGCGTGGACCACATGAATTACTTGGTTATCATAGTAACAAAATATATATATATATATAGTTACCGATAGACATACAGATGATTTGTTTGGTTGATCGAAACTATAAAATGTTGGAAAATTTAGTATAAATATTTATATTTTTACAAACTTTGGACATATATAAATATATACATATGTTGTATATATAACTAACTCTAAGTGGGTTTGTGCTCTCCTCCACGAGGACTTCGAAACGATATATTATATGTCCAAAATGGAGTATATGTGAATGAGATATCGATACTCAAAGAAGGGTATTTGAGAATAAGTTTAGCAAAAATGGATGAATGTGAGAATGAGTCCCACATTGGTAGAAAGACCAAGTTCAACAAGGTTTATAAGCTTGAATGCATGAAAGGCTTACAAACTTGTGTCTATGGTTTTACTACAATTCCTACCCGCGCGCAGGGGATGCAAATCTTGGATTTCGTAGACCAAAAACACGGAACTTGTGCATGGACGCGACCTGCGGACACGAATGCAGCTCCGAAAACTCGGGCACGCGCTATTCGTTTTTGCTAAACTTGACAGTTTTGGTCCATATATTAATTACGTAATTAATGACATTTATTGGCATTAAACGCTCAATCAGTTATTGATTTGTTTCGATTACACGATTCAAGTATAAAAAGAGACCTTACCATCTCATTCAACACACGAATGACAATACTCTTCTTTTTCCTCCTTCTCTGTACTCCTGCTTCCGGCGACTCTTTCAGGCAAGTGAAATATCCGGCAGTACACCACTGTTAAGGTTGTTGTACCCTGTGTGAACAGACGGCGAATCTGTTTAAGGGAATCGAGTCCAACTCGAGCCTCAGCCACCACGTTTGCTACTAATTTTTTCTTTACATGAAACTTTCAAGAGGAAAAACGAAGTCATACACTAACAGTCTTAAACAAATTTATGTTTTGTTCTAAAACTTTCGTTTTCTTTTCTGTTCTTTTATTATAAATCTATTATAAATCGATTTTGTATCGATTTTTCCTGTAATCTATTTAACTGTGGTTACGACTCTTTCAGAATGTCTAGAACTCCTGTTGCTACTGGAACTCCTGTTGCTGGTGCTACCCCTCCTGTGAACCCAAATGCACCGGTTCCAAACATCGTGGCTAATCATGTTGAGAGACCTGAAAAATTTTCTGGTCTCAACTTCAAGAGGTGGCAGCAGAAGATGCTATTCTACTTGACCACCTTGAACCTGACTCGGTTCCTAACAGAAACTGCTCTTGTAATTGGTGAGGGGCAGGCTGATGCTCAATCTGTGAATGCAGTGGATGCATGGAAGCATTCAGAATTTCTGTGCCGCAACTATGTGTTGAATGGGCTAACTGATGCACTTTACAATGTTTATTGTAAAGCTGCAACTGCTAAGGAACTATGGGAGTCTTTGGAAAGTAAGTATAAGACAGAAGATGTTGGAACTAAGAAACATGTTGTTGCTAAGTTCTTGGAATACAAAATGGTTGACTCAAAATCTGTTATGAGTCAAGTTCAAGACCTTCAGGTCATCATACATGATAACAATGCAGAAGGGATGGATCTTAATGAGTCGTTCCAAGTTGCATCAATGGTTGAAAAGCTTCCTCCTGGTTGGATAGACTTCAAAAACTACCTTAAGCATAAGCGAAAGGAGATGTATGTGGAGGAACTGGTGGTGCGTCTTCGGATTGAAGAAGACAATCGAATGGCCTTGAAGAAAGGCAGTGAAGTTGAATCTTCAAA